CTGAAAAAAGAACGATGAAAAAAGGGAGAGGGGCTTGTCCGCAACTTTTAGGCGGTCACTGTATATACGATCAGGCCCGGCACGAGGGTGGCAAATGTTAAACTGAAAGTCGCTTGGGGTAAAAGCAAAAGATATATTGTGAACATACCCTAATTGTACTAATTTCACAAGAAAGAACAAGACGCACTTTCTTCATTTTCAAGCAAGCAGCTTGACCGCACGATGTACCTACCTGCCTCGCGAGATGGTCGTTCTCCCTAGGCGCAAAATTGTCTGCTGCTTCAGGCTGGTCAAGTTTAGAAAAAAATCGCGTGCATCTCGTAAATTTGTGATAACTGCCTCGCTTAGGAAGCACATTAATGATGTGACTTCGAATTTGAAGTATAAATGGACACGGGCTGGGAGGAGCATAGTGCAGAACATTATGGAAAAAACGTGCGAATGGAGATTGTGGCACTTTTTCTCTGAAAATGTTTCATTACAAGAAATGGAAAAATGACTCGTTGCAACTCACAAACGGCTATACGGCCACGAAATTTGATGTGTACATGCGCAGAAGAATCCGAAACAAAGCATGAAAAATTATGAAAAACTTGCGTGAATAAAAAGCGACTCAACTCTTTTCCAAATTATGTAGGCATAAGCCCTACATAATCCCTACATAAAATATATTTTGCACAAGTTTTTCATAATTTCTACATAAAACAGTTCTGCATCCAAGTTTTGCAATGCAGTAAGATTTTGATTTCAAAAATTCCCCCCTCCTCCTTGTTGGAAATAGCAACGACGCCGGTCTCCCTTGGAGGAAGAAAAAGCGCTCTACTTGATCAACTTGAGCGGAAATTTTTTTTACAGTTTAGTGGCAAGTTTCAGTTGATGTCAAAGCTGAGCTGGCACCATTCGCTCACATAATCTTTTGTTTTTTTCTTATATACAGGGTGTACGTAGGAAAACTTGACTAGTATCTCTCCCAGCCTGCCCATGATGACACTCTTTACATCAGACATTTGTATCCGCAGTTTCGTAAATACTCCATAGCTAGAAACAAAAAACAAGCATGCTTCTGCCAAAGCAAACCTCGTTTCTCAAATTTGATCTTATAGGTTAGTAAGCCAAGCGAGGTTAGTACTTTATTAGTTAGTGGAAGCTTGACGTTTCGACTGATCGTCTTCTTGAAAAGCCTCCCCCGCCGCTGCCGCGTAGATGTTGAATGCGGCCGTCCTCGAGTGCCTCTAGTACTAATAGTCACTATAGTAGTATTATATTATATTAAATCATATTGTATTAATAGTCTCATACTATTAGTACTAATGGCACTCGAGGACGGCCGCATTCAACATCTACGCGGCAGCGGCGGAGGAGGCCTGTGAAGAAGACTATCAGTCGAAACGTCAGGCCGCCACTAACTAATAAAGTATTAACCTCGCTCGGCTTGCTAGCCTACTAACACATCGAAATCACAATGCCGAGGGTTTACAAACAAGGAAACTTGGAAGTTACTGATTTTATAGCATTGCACTTTGGAAGTATATATGAATTTTCTACCTATCCATCCACCGCATATCCACCTTTACCTCTTGGAAACGGTTCCACCTCGAAACTGCTGCAATTTTTTAAATCTGGTTGTAGACTGTCCCAACGAACCAATTACTACTCCTATGATTTTGGATTGGATCTTTGATTTTACCGTTCCACAAATAGCGAAGCTGGGTACTATATTCCTGTTACCGTTTTAATAACCTCCTTGACCAAGTTTCGATCAATTTCGTAATTTTCGCCATGCTACACCGTAACTTCGGCATAGTGATTAATGAATGGCGTATTTGCACCGCACAGAATGAACCCTCTAAATAAAATTTTGTAGAATCCCAGAGTTTTATGTGGAGGGTGTGCAGGTGTGCAGTGATGATCCCATCATTCTTACTGAAGCTATAAGCATAATGTACCCCAAAGAACTTTTAAGCTACTTCTCTTCTTCTGCACACTTTTTCTCTTTTTCGGACTTTCGCTTTCACTTTTCGGAAGCTCGAAACTCACATTAAACTCAAGGTTAACGCAGCTACGCGTTTCGTGGTCAAGCTTCTTGTGTGAAACGATTTAGCTACAGTTCCGCACTTGGGTAGATTATCTTCTACTATCCTGCAATCTCATCGTTTTCGAATTGCTCTGATTTACGCCTAAATTTGGGCAGCGCGTTTCAATAGGTTTACTATAAGATGTCGTTGTTTTCTATTTATATGACCTTTTCATCGCATACCTTTTCGATGCGCTTCTTTTACTGTTGCTCACAACTTGCATCTATGTCAATTTCGCAACTGTGTCCAATTTTCAGTTAAGCAAAGATTATAACACTAGAAGCAGAAAGTGCCGCGCATTTTAAAGCTCCGGTTTTGTAAGCTTTCTCTGCTCAGACTGTAATGAAGCTCCTTCCTTCTGCAAGCAAGAAGGCGACCCGGTACCTCGCTTCCCTGCTCTTTATTAAGCCTTCAATATTATAGAAAGTCTATTTTTTGCTTACAAAAGCACTCCATCATGCATCACTCTCGCATTCTTTGGAAACAAAGTCCTTTACATACAAAGGAATTACTTCCTAAGAAAGGAAATGTATTGAAGGGATTAAGGGACAGCATTTTGATTAATTGAGGCAGCAACGTTCCTGCCACCAACGGGTACTTGCTCATGCACGCATGTGAGCCTGAATCCCCAAAACTCTCATCTAATGTTCCAAGCTGCCTGCTCTCTTTTTTGAATTGGGTTGCCAGATTAGAGTTGACCTAAGCTTTTTTTACTAACTTTTTATGCATCGCTTCCATATCATCTTTTCTTTGTACGAATATCACGACTGCATAAACACTTTGAAAGGAACTTCATCACTTTTTAACGGTCATTTAACCTCCTTTTCGAAAGCTCCACACCCACATGTCGCGCCTTGAGCCCACCCTCCGCTGAAAAAGTGCCACTTTTTCTTGCATATTGTGCGAGTCATTTAATTAGTCAACAACATGATGACAATGACAAAACTTTTTATTAAACAAAGTTTTGTACCTGATATAAACTTCTATATGCTATGTATCTTCAAACTAAGCGAATAAAAATGAAAACAATTGAACTAACGAGATTGATAGAGAATTTGGTCTATTCATTTATGTTTAAAAATGTCTATAAACCACATTTGTAGCAAAAGTTTGGTGGAGCTTTTGTCATTTTGAAACTGAAAGGTTTCAATTTTAGCTGCTCTCATCAACTACAAAGCCGATATCGGAGACGGCGTACTAGAGGTGCAGGCTTAGGTTGCTGATCAAATAACCATTCTTGCCGTTCTGAGCTGTGACACCTACTGTATAGCCATTCTCGTTCCCAAAAAAAGCTGTCGTTTGGCGAAAAGCAAAAAGATTGGCATCCATGCGAGCAAACTTGTAGTTTGCAGTACAAAGTAAATTATGACGACAGGATACTGCAATTCATTCAAACATAATTGAGAATTCACTCAAGAATGAAAAGTCTGCTACAGTACATCATTTGTCCATGAATTATAGCAAGATGGATGTACTGTGTGAAATATGTAGATAGCCTCCTCAATTCAGCTGTGTTGCATTTATTTTATGTATTAACGCATTGTAAGCGTCTTTTGGCAGAATCTTATCATACCCATGCTTGTCTGTGAGCTGTCTGGCTAACTTTGTTTGTATAATTTGTTCGAAAATTCCAACTGTTTTTGGTGCGAGGCTGGTAGAGTGAGCTGTGCTGTAACTTTCCTTGAATTGCGCTACATGCATTAATGGTTTCTTACCGTTTCTAACGTTTTTCCTCTCAAACTTCACTCATGTGTTCTCACTCCTTTAGAACTTCATGCGTTAACATCCCCGCCACTTAGGGATCGCAGTTCAAATAAAAGTTCCATATCTTTTTTTACGAATTTTTCGATGAACCCCAACTTGAGGTTCATCGCAAATTTCATAATTCCAAGGCATCATTTGTTCCTATCAGCAACATGCTTAGCAGTGATGGGTTAGATAGCCGGTAAAACTCTGCAATGTTTTCGCTGAGTTTGAAGCAAGAAAATGACTCTGAAGAAAAGACGGTCGGCCGCTGGACATTATACAAAGGACATCATACAAAAAGCTGGAATATGCGGCATATACACTTCTCGCTCTTGTTCATTATGTTCATAGTGAAGGATGTTGGGAGGAATACCTACGGATAGGCAGACAGGATGAAATCCAAATATCTGGAGCTTCAAGATATGAAACTTTCATTTAAACTGCGATCCCCTCTCGCGGGGATGCTAATGCATGCTGCCCTACTCAGACAGTTGATGGGATACCTCCGGAGCAGAAGTGGCAGGGTCGCGGGCTTTCCCCAGCGGAGGATTGCCACTTCGCGCCCCGGAGCCCTGCCATTTCACGCATTTTTGTGCTCCCGGGCTCTCCCAAAAGTGGCTCACTTCCGGAGCAGAGAATTGCGCGTCGCGAAGAGGGGCCCCATTCGCCCTGTTTGTGACGTCACCGTAACGTCACAGTGAGTGAATAGGACCCTTCTCCGCGACGCGCAAATCTCTGCTTCGGAGGTGCGCCACTTTTGAGAGAGCCTCGGAGCATAAAAATGCGTGAAATGGCAGGGCTCCGGAGCGCGGAGTGGCAGACTCGCGCGAAATTTCGCCGGAGGTATCCTTTCGACTGTCTGAGTAAGTTGTTCGCTTACCAGTGTTCGGTGTGAGTGGTGGCCAATCGAAAATGACGAAACTTTCGGACAACAATCTACTTGTTGCAAAAGATTGAGAGAACTCAAGAAGTGAAAAATATAGAAGGTTGCAAGATTTAGCTGCTAAACCGATAATTATAATATATATTACTTGAGATCGTCCAACTAAATAGAAGATGTTAGTAGATTTTCGATTGCTCAAAGCTTTACTTGGCATTTACTATAAATGCGCTTGCTTTTTGACAAACTATCATGCTCACCCCCATTGTAGGTATCTAACCAAACGAACAAATGCCACAATGATTTATTTGTCAGAGGTAAGAACTCTTGTACATTTTGTGAGTTTACGGTGAATGTGGATGTTAAAAAATCTTAGTATTAAAAATATGGAGTTGTTTCAAGGGTTGTACCATTTCTTTGTCATTGTTTTCTGATGTAAAGCTAGTGCAGTAAGATACCCAATATACGAGTACAAGGCTTTCTGCTTCGTTCAATGCTGCAGCTCGGCCGCATCCTGGCCCTGTAGGAGCGATCTCTATTCGCTTGAGTAAGGCATGGCACAGAAGAAAGGATTTTTAAAGGCTATCCAGTCGAGATTGGGTCGCGAAATTTTTGAAATTTACTTACATGGGTTATAAAAATGTGCGAGTGACTTGCTTAGCCTTGTAAACAATTGAAATAACTTCCAATATTTTCTAAAAACTTTGATAAGCTTTGTAACCACTCCCCCCTTTTTCTAGATTTTAGGTTTTGGGTGCGAAAATTTTTGAGAAGCGTCTCAGAGGAGCGGAGCTAGAAAATAATGTGCATTGCACCCGTGAAGCCACGGTACTCAAAAAGAAGCTGCGTTTGCTGTGCAAAATATACAAGAGCACAAAGAGTATGTACACACTGTTTGACTGCCCTGCTCTTGCCTTAGACTCTTTAGCGGGCCTATTATCATCCCTGAGGCCTTCAACACAGATTTACGGTGCGGAACATATTTTAAATCGCTTTTTGTGAGAGGACTCAAGGTCCGCATTTGGCTACGATTTTCAAATAGCAACCAAACAGTGTATACGTAAGCATAAAACCATGTAAGCACTAAAACCGAAACTGGGTTTTTGGGGTTTTCTTCCTTGAAATACTAGGTTAATTCAAAAGCTCTGTCCGATTTTCAGCTGTTTTGCTTTAACGCAGCTATTGTCTAAGGGTTTTGCGCTTATGGCATTTTCATAAACATCGTCGAAAAGTGCTTTTCCTGCTCTTTCTAGTGCTCACTGATGCTTAGCAAATCATCTTTTCATTGATAAAATTTCAAGCCTCGAAGCAAAAGTGTTAAAATGCAGTCATGCCTAAGAAAAAGTTTCCATGAAGAGAACTTTCGCAGTATTCGTAAAACTGTATATCATCAGCTCCCAGATTCGTGTGGAGGTGGAGTCTTGCCAACTCACCGCGTAGCGGTTTTTGCTAGTGAGAGAATACGAAAAGCAATGCTATGACGTGAAGGTTTAGCAAGTTTACATGTATTATCAGGCAAAGTCTGCAATACACCTCCACACGAACCTGGGAGCCGATCATATGTATTCTATAATGGGTGAGAGGCTAACATAAGCACAATTTTCCTTCGACGTAAAGGATGTCTTACTTTCATTTTTTTTCAAACATAGACATATAGCGACAGGTGATGCATATCAATATTGCATATCTCAGAGTAAGACAAGAGGAAGCAAGGACCATCTGCCAATTGGCTTTCTTCGTTTCCGAAGCTAGAAAAAATCAAATATTAGAAAGTCGGCATATTTCCGCGGAGGAGTGCTCAAATAATGGGTTTTTTGATTTGCCCGCAAAAACTTCTATGCATCAAAAATAACTCGAATTCTCTCTAGCCTCTAAAGTTAGGCTACTTGATGATGGCAGCCAAATATGCCTGCCCATCCTCATATGGAAGCAGTAGGAAATCAAAATCGACGGTTTTGAAGAAAACCTTGAAGAATAAAAAATTTCTCTTCTCTCTCGCTTGCCTTCCTCATATGGTATAAAGTGCTTGTAGCCATGAGCACGCCCAATTTAACAAAACTCAATTTCTTCAAAATTAGTTTTGAAAAAGTTGTAAAATTCGCAAATCGGACAGAACTTTTAAATCAACCTAGGGGCAAGAGTTGCACGCAAAAAAGTATAATTTTGAAGAGCTTATGATATGGTGCACAGGTCTTGCTAGCATATCTGTGTTGTGAATAATTAGTCATTCAATCATTCACCAAGAATAAATTCTTAATCCATACAAAAAGGAGTAGCATAAGCGTTAATAATTAAATTTTTACTTATGAAGAAAGACAAATGGCAGTACATTGTTTTTTTCAAAACTGTATAGTTTTTGTAGTAAAAAATTGCTTTTTTGAGTGCAAATCTATTTTGTCGCAAGCCAAACGCTTGTCAGAAAAACAATGATAATAATATAAAAGGATGATATGGAAAATTAAATATGTTTTGCTTATTGCTGGTTTGATTTCCACTGTTTCTACTACATGAGTACTCTGCTACAGATCGCCGTCGTCATAATTCATGTTCGCTTCAGCGCTGGAATATTTTATAATGGTTAGTTCTCAATAGTGGTTCAAATGCTAATGCTAGAACGCCCAACTTTCGGTTAAAACTAATGAAGGATGGTGAAGAAAAGAAGAGCAAGAATATAAGTTTTTCCCTTCATTCAATAAGCTTAAGGCTTTCCTCATAAAAGAAGAATGAAAATGCTATCTATTCACTGAACAAAACCAAAACAAACTCGAGTTGTGGCCGTATTAATTAACACGTTGACGACAGTGTCGCGCAATGGTGCGCGGCAAGCAGTCTGTCCCTGTGGACGACGCCGCGCAATGGTGCGCGGCGGCCTTAAATTCAATACTATCTGTCCAATCCTCTCAGTTTTTGTTCATAATAGTAAACCAGCAATCTAAAGTGCTATTTGCAAGAGCGTTCGCTTCTGGACCGCGCCGCAGCTTCCCGCTGTTTGCACATTTTTGAATTGCGCTTACGATTCTTTATATAAGAGATAATCAACATAGGCTCAGATGTACTTCGTGTATTAGCCCCGCCCCTTTTGGCAAACTCCGCCCACTTTTATGCCTCCCACAAGGAGTCCCCTTTTTGTCCATAAAAAGCATGGATGAGGCTGTAGATAAACGCAAAGACTTCAGGCAACTTCTAGCCAGGCTTCGCCCACCGTCAGGCAAGCTCTGCCCCCTGAGTGGCAAGCTCCGCCCACTTTCCAAAAGTGGCGGAAATCGCATAAATTCTTGAAATTTGGGCAGTTTCCGACATTTTTGGTCGAGTGGGCGGAGTTTGCCAGAGGGGGCGGGGCTTGCACATTTTGTACTTCTTGCATGGATGCATGCATATATACATCGGCCACGCGTAGGGATGCATGGGAACGTCTCGTCCACAGGGACAGACCGCAAAAAAATGGCTCGTCGTCAACGTGTTAACGAACCTTGAGTGTAAACCTACCTTACCCTTGGAAGCAAGGTATATCCCAGAAAGCATAGAACCGTGTTCACGAAGCACAAGGCAGACTTAATATTAAAGATTAAACCTACCTTTGTGAGTAAACCTTACGCCGGCAAGCGACTAACAAGTATTCATTCTGAGGGTGAATCCTACTTTTGGAGACGTGATTTATCAGGAGATGTATTAGGTTGTCCGGAAATTGATGCAAGTTTTATATTCCAACCACAATAAGTCATGCAACTCTCATTTGTAAGTAGGTTGCCCAGTACCGTTCACTAGAGTAAAGAAATCTCTACAAAATGGCTATTTTGCTTTCGCAGCAGCTCTGATCCACCACGAGTTTCGAGCCAAAAAAGATTCAACTGTTCGAAAAATTGAGAAAGATCGCAACACAGTTCATAAAAATCCTACAAAAATTCTAAATTGCTCAGGTAAACACAATCCACATGGGGCATCTATATACGCCGCTGCCGTATTTTTTTCTCTGTTAGAAATCAAGAAAGTGGAATTTTTGTGCATTTGCCAAAGTGCTGCCGTGCCTTTCCCGCATGGGTAGTCGTCGTAAATTTCCAGCTTTCTACATGCTTCAGTTCTCGAGAAATTTGAATTTTAGCTTGCACCACATGACTGGGGAAAACCGTATTCAATATTTCTTGAGAATTAAAGCTTGTAGAGAGCTGGAAATTTACGTTTGTACTTCTACAGGTTTGTATTATACAACTATCAAATGCACAAAGATTTTCGTTTTTTTATTTCTAACGGAGAAAAAAATACGGCGACGGCGTATATAGTTGCCCTATATGGATTGTGCTTATTGTTATTGTGAGCAAGTTAGAAATTTGAGTTACGATTTTTCTCATGTTTCCGGGCAGTTGAATCTTTCTAGTTTTTGGCTCGAAACTCGTAGTGTATCAGAGCTGTTGCTAAAGCAAATAACCATCTTGTACAGTTTGTTTTGCTCTATGGAATGATATCTTGCACCTACTTAGAAATGAGAATTGTATGATTTATCGCGGTAGGAATTCAAAAGCTCATCAAATTCCGGACAACTCAATATTTGACCCTAGCAAGCAAGTTTGAATTTACCCTGACACTTCGTACAAACATTAACTGATCTTTCAAGGCAGCACTCAATCTTAATGATACTTTTTTTGACAACAAACATTACAACGCAACAACAGATTAGTATTATCTCACAAGGGGATGAACCCAACTAAAGGTGACGAACTCTCAGACAATCGCCGGGGGCAGGTGGGCACCGGAGAAATAGATTGCTGATCTCTCGCACCCCGCTCGCGGATTTTTTGGAAAGCAATCAGGACTTTTCGGAAGACCGCTTGCTGAGTTCTCGATTCCTCAGAGATTCAGCAATATATCTGCAAAAGATAGGAGCGAAAAAAGATTCGACAGGCGGTCTCTTAAAAATCCGCTGACTCAGCGAGCGGTCTTCCGAAAAGTCCTGTTTGCTTTCCAAAAAATCCGCGAGCGGGGTGCGAGAAATCAGCAACCTATTTTTCCGGTGCCCGCCTGCCCCCAGCGATTGTCTGAGCTGAAGTAAACCGCATACCATTAGATGCATCTTGATGAGCTGATTTTGAACTACGTTCTACAGGGTGCGGCAAAAGTCTAGGAGCCTAACTTTGCAGTACTGCAATTACAAAGATACTGATGGTTTTGATTTCAATTTTATGCCACCTGATGCTGCGGTCATCCTCCATAGAGTACACTTAATTTGGCTGGAAATGGCTGCCATATGTTTTTGTAAGAATGAAAAATACCAAACTAGTACTTGTGCAAAGCGAAAAAACCAGAATTTTTTGATATTTACAATTTCTGCTGTAGCTAGAGATGCTGTTAATGTTTTACAAAACTTCGATGCACACAACATAGAAGAGGCTTTGCGCTATTGTATCCTAGTTTTGATTTTGCCAGGAGCTGTTCTTGCATGAACGGAAAATAAAAGTTTGCGAATGTTACCTACGTGCCAGTGGAAATCCTTTTTAGGACAAATTTAAAAGCTATAGAATGCTCAACAGGCACTGGGACCAAGGCTGTCTTTTTTGCATACGTCTTCTGAATTAGAATCTATTGAAATTCGGCCATGGGAACACTCTTTATACTTTTGAACGATATTTTTGAGTTTTTATTCGTGCAATTGTAGCCAAAATTCCGGTATGCGATGAACACATACTTCTAATTAAAAATCGAATATTTTTATTGCTAAGCAATGCAAAAATTTCTTTTGGAAGTTTATTGTAGACAAAAGTTTGCTCTATCATGCTGCGCTTTTGCCAAGGTAACAGAGGCAGTTATTGTGAAGGCGTGGGGGCGAATTCCATCACGACTACTTACGTGCCATGACAGGTGGACTTGCCAAGATTTTGTAGGTCTGCGTGGAAGCCAAATGAGGCAGTTTTGCATTTCAAGAACTGGGCTGTATTTGCAATGATTCGAATTATGTGTGCGCCAAGTTTTTCGTTTCTAGGTACTTCCCTTCTCGTTTTGTACGAAAAAGTACTAGGCTCCCAGACTTTTGCCGCACCCTGTATATTTGCGATACCGCTATCTGCAAAAAGTTATGAGCGGCAAAAAATGTGAAGTCATTGGGGTTTTCATGCATAATGTGCTTTGAAATCCAACTTGGGAGTGTATGATTAGCATGATATCGCGTGTCCTGTTTTTAACACATTGACGACAACGTGACCCACATGGTGGGTAATGCAATGACTGCCATGGGACAATGTGACCCACATGGTGGGCCACGACATAAGTTTTTTTGAAATAATAACAATCACTAGGTACATCCGTTTCCTGTCTTTTACGGTATAATCCTAGAAAATACCTTGACGTTTCTTGGCCGCTTTCAAGAATTTGTGTAGGTAAAGTTAAAATGACGATCTGCTTGATTTTGGCTAGAAATTTTCGACTTGTTCGTGAAAGGCATTGTCCCACAAGGCAGACAACTGAAAATGCGCATTGTCGTCAACGTGTTAAGGAAGGCTCACATTCAAAGGAAGCACAAATGAGTTATTTAAGTAAAAAAACAACTAAAGTTCCTTGGTAAACAATGAATAGTCCAAATTTGGTAGATGCTTACTTACTTACTCAGATACTTAGATGGCCCGTCCTCATGTGACGTGCGGGCCCCAGTACAGAAGGTGCCATTGATCTCTGTCCCTCGCTTCGGACATCCACGATCTTCTTGGTCGTCGTCGGTGGCTGCGTCCACGAGTTCCAGGGGCGAGAATTGTTTCCAGCTGATTTCTCAGCTGGTCCATCCGTTCCACGAACACGCCTGCCCATCTCGTCGGTGGTCCTCCTCGAGGACGTTTGGCTTCGCGAGGATCCACTCAGATGTTCTTAGTGTCCATCTATCGTCCGTTCTTCTCATTATGTGACCAGCCCATCGGTGTTTCGCTTTCGCAACGTATTCCGCTGGGCCACGAAGACGGGACATTCTTCTCATATCCGTGCTGCGAAGTCCGACTAGATGTTGCTTGTGTCGGGTCATCTTCAGAAGACTGCGCTCGAGCGCTTTGTGGGTGGTCCTCAAAGCTTTCGACGTGGCTACGGTGTCGGCCCAAGTCTCAGCTGCGTAGCAGAGCGCTGGGAGAACGGTTGAGTCGAACAGGTGGGCACGATGCTCCGGGTCCGTCAGTTGGTCGGTGGCTTCCTTCAGAGGCCCGAAGGCGGCCCAGGCTGCTCTTCTTCTCCTGTTAAGTTCTTCCCTCAAGTCGTTCTCCATGTTCATCGAACTCCGAGATACACGTAAGAAGACGTCTCCATAATAGAGGTGCCTTCCAATTCCATTTCTGCATCTTTGCAAAGGGCGTTCTTCATGAACTGAGTCTTCTTCCGATTTATTCGCAGTCCGATATCTTCTTCCCTACTTCGTTTAGTTCCTTCAGCATCGCCTCTGCTTCAGTGATAATGCTCGAGAAAAGGACGATGTCATCCGCAAAACGAAGGTTGGATAGGAATCTCCCATCAACTCGTATGCCTCTCTCTTCCCAGTCTAGTGACTTCATCACCCACTGCAAGGCCGCGGTGAACAGCTTCGGCGAAATAGTGTCGCCTTGTCGAACCCCCTT